GGGAGGGCGGACGCCGGGGGGGGCCCCCACTCACCCCCGTACTCCGGCGGGAAGAAGTGCAGGTTCCCAGGCTCCTCGCGCGCAACACGGATGGGGCTTCGGAGGTGGTCTGGGAGCGCTGCGGGGAGGGCGCGGATGAGCAGAGTGGGCCTCTCCCCCACGCTCCGTCCCCCAGGGTCCCCACGCACCGTTGGAGAAGATCCGGTGCCACACTGCGCCGGTCACCGCGGGGAGAAAGGGCAGGCGTCAACGTGTTGGGGCACTGGGCGTCGTCCGCCCCGTCCCAGACGGGTCCCCCAGCCCCGCCCCCCGCCCCCGCCCAGCCCCACTCGGCCAGCACCAGAGCCGATCTTGATGAGGCCATTGTGCTGTATGAAGATGGTGTCGCTGGTCAGGTTCCCGTGGATGATGGGGGGACTGCAGGCGTGCAGAAAGCTGGCGAGGAGGGGAGAGCAGGGGGAGCTGGGTCAGGGGTGCCAGGGAGGCGGGGGCGCCAAGGGCAGGTGCTCGGACAAGCCCAGGCCCTCACCTGAGCGCGGACAGGATCTGCGTGCACCAGCGCTTCCAGGCCTGGCGGCGGACGGACTCCGTGGGATGAGCGCAGGAAAGGCAGCTGGGCCTGAGGTTCCCCGGCCCAACCCCGCTCCTGTGCCCAGGGCCGCCCAGCGCCCCCTCACCATCTTGGTCCCCAGCGCACCCCCGACCCCACCCTGTCCCTGACGCTGACCCAGCCCACTCCCTGTACCCTGGCGTTCATGGCCTTGTGGTTCTTCTTGGTCTTCTTGAGGAACTGCTTGAGGCTGCCCGATGACACGTACTCTGTGATGAAGATGACCTGCGAGGCGGCAGGCTCACGGGCTCCACCAACGGTGGGTGCCCACGGCCGCCCCACCCACTGGTGCCCCCTCCCCGTGGTGTGCCCGGGGCTCACCCGTGCTCGGGCCTCCGAGGCATCCAGCCAGTGCCTGTGCAGTTTGACAATGTTGGGGTGGTCCACCAGCGCCAGCTGCTCAAACATGATCTGGATCTTCTCCTGGGAAGGGGGGGCGGTCACCAGGCTGGGGGGCGCTGGGCGGTGGCGGGGGGGCAGCAGGCCTTACCTCGTGGGCCGAAAAGGCCTTCCTGTCAGCGAAGTGCAGTTCGTTCCACACCACCTCCACCCCCTCCTCCGTGTCCATGGCCAGGAAGGTGCTCTGGACGCCGGGCATGTTCCCCTGGTTCACCTGTTTGGGGGGCGGGGGGCACGAGTGAGCTGGTGCGTGGGGGAGGAAAAGGGTGCGGGCTAGGTCTCCGTTCACCTCCCTTCCAGCAGCCCGAGCATGTGAGGCAGGCGCTGGCCTGCTCTGGGGGCAAGCTGGGCACCCAGGAGCAGAGGCTTGGTATCCTGGGGCTGGGCTGAGAGGATCTGGGGCATGTTCCGGGTGTTTTTGAGGCCGGTCCCCAGAGGACTAACAGCTGGTCCCAGAGGCATGAGGAGGTGGTCTCGGGAGGAGACAGGGAATCGGGGGCTCCTCACCAGGGCGTGGGCGCCAGGCTAAAGGAGTGCAAGGGCCCGTCAAGAAGGGGGCCGCCTGCGCGACGCTTCGGAGAGGTTTCGGGCCTTCTGGCTCCCCGAGAGTCCGCACGGCCCCGCGTGGTCTCAAGGGCCCCTCGGCCGGAGGTGGGCG